CAAAGTTTCTCCCCTTGTGGTATATTGTACTGCAATGTACATGCTTTTATGATGGTGATCACTAAGGGGCACTGGTGTCACGTGTGTTACGGTTGGGGTTGAGGAGTTGAGGCAGAAAGTAAAAGTTTGCTGGACCCAAACAGCTGTGTCTCAGTGTTTAATTACCTAGTAGAAAACGTACAGCAGACATAAGGAGACCAGGTAATACAACACCCCTGATCGCTGTGCAGCTCCTCAGGTATTTCAAAACGAGAGAACATCTCGTCCACCAGCCGCTGAGCTGTAGATGCAGCACTTTTATCCGGCATCGCGTACGCTTCTGGTCACTTGGTGAAGTAGTCCATGGCTACCAGAATGTAGCGATTCCCAGCCTCTGTAGTGGGAAAGGGCCCGAGGATGTCCACCCCGACCCTGTCATGGGTGATTCTGCAGGTTGAGTGCTTTGCAGTCTTGTTTCTGGTTTTATTGTATTTTTGGTACTTCCTGTTTTATTTTGTGCATTCACTTCCTGTCTCATTACAGGCAGCTTCACGACATGAGGCTCCTCACTAATCTGCCTCATGTCTTGCACCTGGGTCCTGGCTTCTCCATTTAAGTGTCTTTGCAACAGTTTCCTTTGCCAGTTTGTCTTCTTCAGTTGAGTACTGTGAACCTGCTCTCAGTAACACTTTGTGAGAGTTTATTTAGTTAGTTTTGGACTTGTTCAGTTGTGCTGTACTGCCAGGAATCCCTTCTGCTGATTAAAACTGTGTGAGCTCTGCATTTGAGTCCTCTTTGTGCTTTGATAGACCCGCTCCATCGGTGCTCCAACCAGGTACTGTTGTAGCGGCCCCTGGGAGCACTGAGTAGGCCCTTTGTGGCTGGTGCAGACGTCGCAGCAGTGAACGTGGTGTTCCGTGTCCTGGTGGCAGCCCGGCACCTCCGCCAGAGCCGTTGCACCGTTTTGCTGTTGCCAAAGTGTCCCGTCCCCGTTGCCCCATGAACCCAGTAGAGGACTTTTGCTCGAAGTTTTCGTGGCACCAGCAGCTGCAAACGGTCCATCCCTCCCCCCGGTGCCTGCCAGCGCCAATACAGCACATCTCCATGCAGCTCCAAGCTGATGAACTGAGTGCAGGTTCTTTACTTCAGCCCCACGCGAGGATATGGTGGGCCACTCTGGTCTCCGGGGGTCCCGAACCCGGGTCCTCACCTCCGCCAGAGTTGGATCAGCCTCCTGCTGGTCTTTTAGTTCCTCCATGAAAAACAACTCCCTCTCCTGTTCCTCGGTAGCTTCCACCGCTGCAGCCGACGGTTCTTGGTGCTGCTCCCTTGCTGCTGCTGGAACAGGTTCTGGTTCTTGCTCTTCCTGGCGGAGACAGTAATGACACTCAGTCACTAAACATGGGCGGCAGGACAGCGCGTCAGCATTAGCATGCTGGCGACCGGGGTGGTGCTGGATCTCAAAGTCATACTCCTGCAGAATCTCCAGCCACCAAGCCCCCTGTCCCTCTGGCTGTTTAAAGTTCAATAGCCAGGTGAGGCTAGTATGATCAGTCCAAACTTGAACTTGGTACCCAGCAGGTATGGCCGGAAGTGTCCCACAGCCAAAACCACTGCTAGCAGCTCCCGCCTGGTGACGCAGTAGTTCCTCTTGCTCCGACTGAGACTGCGGCTGTAATAAGACACAACTCTTTCTCCATCTTCACCTTCACGGCTCCCACTCCCACGTTGCTAGCATCTGTATCCACAACAAATGGTTGGGCGGGGTCCGGATATGCCAGAACCGGTGCGTCAACCAACGCCGTCTGGAGCTGGTGGAAAGCTGCAGTGCACTTCTCACTCCATTCGAACCACCTGCCCTTCTCGACTAACCGATGCAGAGAGCTAGCCACAGTAGCAAATCCTTTCACAAAGCGTCGATAGTAGGAGGCCAAACCCAGGAAGCTCCACAGCTCCGAGAAGCTTCTTGGCACAGGCCATTTCTTCACAGCAACAACCTTAGCAGGGTCTGTTGTTACTCCCTGCTCGCTGACGACATGGTTGAGGAAATGAGTCTGGCGAGTGAGCAGCGTGCACTTAGCAGGATTTAATCGCAGCCCAGCCTGGCAAATGGCGACAAAAACCTCCCTCAGGTTGCGAATAGCGTGCTCAAAGTCTTTAGCATGCACAAGCAAATCATCCAGATAAACCACACAGCGGCTGTGAGGAATCTTCTGCAGAACTCGTTCCATCAGTCTTTAAAAAGTAGCCGGGGCGTTGCATAACCCAAATGGCATCACTCGAAACTGCCACAGTCCTTGTCCAATCATGAACGCTGTTTTGGGTTTAGCCTCCAGCGCCAGCTCCACCTGCCAATATCCACTGCATAGATCCAAGGAGCTGAACCAGCACGATCCAGCTACATGATCTAATGTGTCGTCAATGCGGGGCAGGGGACTTGAGTCTTTGCGCGTCAAAGCATTAAGCCTCCGGTAATCCACACAGGGTCGCCATCCACCCCCCCTCCTCTTCACCATGACAATGGGAGCAGCCCAGGGGCTATCTGATGGTTCAATGACCCCGTTAGCTGCCATGTCTCTGATTAATTCTTCTGCTGCTTGGCGTTTGGCTAATGGCAGGCGATGAGGGTAGAGCCGTACAGGAGTGGCGTCTCCTGTGTTGATGCAGTGTTGGACCAGGCTAGTCCAGGAGCAATCCTCTTCTCGAGCAGCAAAGATGTCCCCAAACTGTCCCCAAACTCTTGCAGTAATTGGCCCAACTGCTCTCGTTGCTCCGAGCTGAGGTGTTCCCCGCTGCGTTGTTCCAACGCCTCCATAGCAAGCATGGCCTCAGGTGACGGGGCCACAGTAGCAGGAACCGGCTTCTGTCCAACCTCCAGGCTTTTGCAGTTGTCTTTGAGCAACTGGGCGACTCTGGCTCCTCGTCGCTCCCCCCGGAGAGGAATCCTCTCGGCATCTAGGCATAAAGCAGTTCCTCGGACATCAACACATGCGCCCCAGCGCGTTAATAAATCCAGCCCGATGATGCAATTATCTCGAATGGCAGTGATCCAGAACTCCTGCTCAGCTCAATGAGTTCCGACCACCACCGATAACAGTCCCTTTCCCGTCATTGTGGTTTTTTCACCAGTCACGGTCAGCAATAATGTTTCGGTGGGACTCCAGCCTACCGGGAGGGAACCCTCAGTCTCTGGCAGGAATCCCTTCCGGACCAGACAGATGGTAGGCCCCGTATCCACCAAGGCTCTGCATCGTTGTCCTCCGACAACACAGTCCAAATATAGCCCATGAATTGACGTTGTGCGAGGTGGGAGTCCCCTTACTGTCCCACCCCGCTGGCGTTTCCCACAGCTTGCGGCCCGGACCTGGGCAGAGGAATTGGGGCTGGGCATTTTCTGGCTAGATGTCCCGGTTCCCCACAGCGGTTGCAGAGGCCGATGGCTGGTCTCTGTCTCGGGGTCTGCTCCGGCCGGGCCTGGTTGACTTCTCTCCTCTCCTCCAGCACCTCCTCTTGTTCAGCCGCTCTCGCCAGCGGCAATCGCTCACACTGTCCAAGAGGTATCACCTCCTCTGCTTGTTCAGCTCTCCTAAGCGCTTCAGCCAAGGTGATGGGGAAGGACAATCTGACGTGTTGGCATAATGGTTCCGGTGTTAGCCCTCGTAGGAATGCGTGCAGGCTTAACTCCTCTCTGGCGGCAGGATAGCCCCACTGAGCATACAGCTGTAGATCAGCCACATAATCTCCCAAGCTTTCTCCATGGTCGCGTTATCTGCCGCTCAGTTGTTCTCGGCTTTGCTCTCCTGAGGCTTGCTTCCCAAAGCGTCTGTTCAGTGCAGCCACGATAGCTTCCCAATCACGTTGCTCTCCCGATGCTAGGTCCACCAGGACCTGAAGGGCTCCTCCTTCCAAGGCCAGCACCACCTGAACCGCTGTCTCCTGTTGGCTCCATCCTTCATGTAAAGCCACCAGCTCTACTTGAGCAATGAAGGGTGCAAGGGGTGTGGCGCACGCTGAATCTTGGGAGTTTTATTGGCGTTCGATTGCCGCCGTCTCTCAACGCCGTTGGTGCCAGGATTGTGGGTGCTTCCGCTGAGCGCATCTCTCGCGGGTGCCGGGCTGACCGCGGATCTCTGGTTCCATCCGGCTGGCGCGGTGTCCTCACTCTAGTGCCCAGCCGTAGTTGCTCTTCCAGCTTGCTATTCTCTCTGTCAAGTCGCTCGATCTCTTCAACTAGTTGCTGCATCTTTCCTGTCTTTCTTGACAGTGCTAATCCCACTTCTGAAACCAATATAGCAGTCTCTGCCGCACTCTAGCAGGGTGTGTGTGAAGCGGCAAAGAAGAGTCAACAGGTAGCAGACATAGAACACTTTTAATAGCCGGATGGCTCCCCTTTTCATCCCCCCTCACATACATTTAACTCACGGTGCCAATAGGCACCGGATAAGAACAACACAGCGTGAACACCGAACTGAAACAAACAACACTAACATAACCCCGAACAATATAACCCCCAAAACACCACAAACTGAATAAACAACCCCAATTTACCGTCACCCCAGAGTGCAATGCGGCCTTGCCGGCCTATCAGGGCCGCCACAATATGTATACAATTTTATTCTTCTTTCTGTGTAATTTGTTTTCTCTTCTTTTTTTCAATTCGTGTTGTCCAACCAGTCCAGAAACTATATTGTTCAAATTAATTAAGAATCATACTGTTGTTTCATTTGTATGGATGTTATTTTAGTGAAAATGGGCAGATAACATAAGTTTTTCTTCTTTCTGTCCCCTTTTCATTTTGTTTTTTAGTAATTTAGTTTTGTATTTTGATTTTAATGTCAATAAACGAAAATAAAGAAAAAAATGTAATCTCTCTCAGTTTAACCATTTTTTCTTTGATGTTGTTTAGTTCTCTCGTATTGGGCAATACGTTTTGTGAATTTGGAAATATTTGCTCTTTATTTCCCTAATGTTGATTGTAAAGGGATTTCTGACTAGGCACCAACGTGGGCACCTGTTCATTAAATTAAACAGGCAGCCAGTGGATTCAGCACATCTGAACTAGCTCACAGGCTTCACTCCGTTTCCTGAAAATAAGTCAGGTAGTTTTACACCATAGACTGTACATACTGTTTTACACCGACCGAGCATCTGTAACGGACCGTTCCCTGTTTGATGAAGACATTTGTGATGGACGCAAGTTAACGGAGACCGTCGGTTAAACAGAGACTGCAGCAGGGGGAATAGGTTCTTTGATCTGAGGTTATTTATTGAAGCGCCTCGTGATTTTTATCTGGAGAGGCGCTATAGAAATGATGTTTTCTTCTTTTGTGGGCAGCTACGAGGGGAGTGCTTTCAACCAACATGAGAACAGCACTCCAGCTGCTTTCCACCCCAACGATTTCTTACTAGGTTTGTTTATTTGTATTCTTTCTATCACGTTAAAGTTTTAAAGTAGCTCAGAGACCGATCTAATACCCAGTTAGCTTAGCTTGCTAAGTGATGATGGAATGATCACAGCTAGAAACACAGCTGTTAGTGTCCTGTTTATACCTTTTACTGTTTCTGCTCCACTTTATGCTAGCAATGGAAATCCCAAACTTCCACACAGTTGTGTTGAAGGCTAGCATCAGAGCTGCGTACTCACTCAAGTCCTGCCTAATAGCATCTTGCACATCTGGTTCCAGATAAACAGATGTAACACCAGCTAAATATCTAAATACAAGGCTAGAAAATAGTGTTGATGTGCGGAAGTAGTAAACTAGCAAAAGTAGTGAAAAGATGACTCCTATCACTTCACCTGACCCGTTTAGTATAAGTGAGATTAGTAGAATTAGAAATATTTATTGTACATCTGAGGAAGCTGTGGGCACAATGAAATCACAAAGGCTTCTTCAGGGTGCTGTTCCTAATGTTTATGATGAGTAAAAGGGAATAAAGGAAGAACAAAAGAGAACTGCTCGTAGGTTTTTGTGTGCAAAGAATGCTTGAGGGAAGGAACTGATCTTGAATCTGCTTGTCTTTAGTCTCCTGGACCTGTAGCACTTGCCAGAGGGCAGCAGGTGAAACTGATGGTGGGTGGGGTGAGTTTTGTGCCTGGTGATGGCATGGTGTCTGTGCTCTGCTGAGGATGCAGGATGAGTTTGTGTCTTTTAGGGATGTTTTGACCACTTTCTGTGTCCGGTCTGCCTCAGTGGGAATGGAGAACCACACAGAGGAGCTGTAGGTCAGGATGCTTTCTGTGGAGGAATTGGTTAAAGGTTGTCAGCAGCTTCCTGCTGATGTTGCTCCTGAACACTCAGGATGTGCAGAAGCTGCTGAGCCTTCTTGATGAAGAACCTGGTGCATGCAGACCTTGTCAGGTCAGCAGAGATGTTAATCAGATGAACATGTAATCATGCAACTAATCACACATTCTTTTTAATCTCATCATAGGGATGGGCTATGTGGCCTAAAATCAATATCATGGTACATTGTGGATTTCAACTTGAAAACGATAAATGGACGAAAACTACAGGTATGTTCAGAAACAACAGTTGTCCACTAGATGGGGCTGTCACATGTATTAGTTGAGTCACATTTTTACATGACTCAAGGTGGTACAACTTCTTAAAGGGGCATGAACGCTGCCAACCTACACACATCTTTTCATTTATTATCAGGTTTATTGACATGGGAAAAATTATCTCAATAAGAGTCAAAAATTTCGATAATGATACATTTTCAATTAATTGCCCAGCCCTGTCTTATCAGAAACCACAATTAGAGAATCCTTTTTCTTCCTCCTCTCTAACACCTCCACTCGTTCTTGTGCTCAGTCTTTCTCATCCTCATCCTTTTTTTCCCATGACCTGCTTCTGGTCAAGTTACATCAGCAACTATTAAACACATCTGTAACGTGTTAATCATTACAGGGCAGCAGCTAAACCTGCGCTGTAAAAAGACACTGGGTCCTTTTTTGGAACATTCTAGTTGATAAACTGACTCACAAGAGTTTATTTGTTTTAGTGTAGAAAGGTTGTGACTATCGGCTGATCAAGGTTAGGGATGCCATCAAGCTGAAGAAAGAGTCCTATCAGGTCATTGTGGCCTGTGGGACTCCAGAGGCAGTTGATGGGTACCAGCCGGTCAAGCTAAATGTTTGGGTGGTTGTGGAGGCAAAATTCCAGGCATGGGAGGAGTTTGGTGAGGCCATGGAGCAAGATTTCCGTACAACTGTGAAGGGATTCTGGTCCACCATCCAGCGCCTCAGGAGGGGAAAGCAGTGCGCTACCAACACTGTTTATAGTGGGGACGGTGTGCTGCTAACCTCTTCTCGGGATGTTGTTGATCGGTAGGCGGAATACTTTGAAGACCTCCTCAATCCCACCGGCATGTCTTTGAGTGAGGAAGCAGAGTCCGGGTACTTTGGGTTGGGATCTTCAATCTTTGCGGCTGAGGTCACAAAAACTCCTTGGTGGCAAATCTCCGGGAGTGGATGAGAGCCATCCAGAGTTCCTTAAGGCTCTGGATGTTGTAGGGTTGTGTTGGCAGACATGGTTCTGCAATATCGCGTGGACATCGGGGGAAGTTCCACTGGATTAGCAAACTGGAGTGGTCCCCCTATTTAAAAGGGGGGACCGCAGGGTGTGTTCCAACAACAGGGGTCACACTCCTGAGCCTCCCTGGTAAGGTCTATTTGTGGGTTCTGGAGAGGAGAATCCGATGGATTGTTGAACTTCAGATTCAGGAGGAACAATGTGGTTTTCGTCCTGGCCATGGAACACTGGACCAGTTCTATAACCTGAGGGGGATCCTGGAGGGTGTGTGGGAGTTCTCCCAACCAATCAACATGTGTTTTGTGGATTTGGAGAAAGCATTCTCCCACGTCCGTCTGGGGGGTACTTCGGGAGTATGGGGTACCAGGCCCTCTGATAAGGCTTGTTAGGTCCCTGTAATGGGCCATTCCCATCTACTGGGTCGGGCCGGGTAGCCCCAGTCGGCCCCAGCCTGGCCCGGTTGATTCCACACATCCTTGCCTTAAGCCCATGTGGGCTGATTCTACCCACCAATCAGAGGCTTGCTCTAATGGAAGGTGTGAATTTGCTGTCAGCAGTGGGTGTGTTGGCCCTGGTCGGCCTGAAGCAGACCCCCTCGAGAAGAGGGCTGAGAATGAGCCTTGGTTGGCCCGGAAAAATACCAGGCCACCCAGATATGTAAACAACCTATGCTACCCGGCCCGGGCCGACCCGGTACAGATGGGAATGGCCCATATGACTGGTGTCAGAGCTTGGTCCGCATTGCTGGCAGTAACCCCCAAATTCCACTACCTCCGCTCCGACACGAACGCCGGAGCAAAATCAGTCCCGTTCTAGTCAATCAGAGCAATTCCACTACTGCGGCCGTGCTCCGGCAGTGCGGCGCCGTGCGCCGCCATCTGTTCCGACGTCCGGCAAAAATAGAATCGATCCTATTTTCGCCGGACGCCGGAGCACCTCCGCAGTAAATGGACAGAAATCACAACGGCCCAACAGGAAAAGGAGCAAGCACAATTTCCGTTTTTCACAATAAATCGATAAACAAAAGGCGTTTTTTGTTTCATATGCACAGGTTTAACAACTTTTAACAACTATCAATGGCGGCTGAAGTTTAAATGCACAAAAGTAAGCCATAAATACAGTTTCCACTATCAAAGTAGTCACACTTTGTTGATTCAAACACTGCTGATCTCTCAACACAAATGATAGGCAGATTAAACAGTTCATTTCGATGCTTCTCCCACACAACGGGTGTTTGGATCTAACTTCCGCGTTTATTGCTCTGACTGTATCGCAAGATCTCGAAAATCCCGCGCATGCTTGTTTGCCCACCTCAGGTCTCCGCACCGGAGTGGAGCCGTTGTAGAGCGGGTACCAGTAAAAATTGAGTTCGGAAGCGAGCGGCTGCGGAAGGCGGGGGCGGGGGCGGACCGGAGTGGAGGTAGTGGAATTTGGGGGTAAGTCGGGCTCGTTTCTGGTGAGAGTTGGACTCCGCCAACGCTGCCCTTTGTCACCGATTTTGTTCATAACTTATGTGGACAGGATTTCTAGACTCAGCCAAGGTGTTGAGGGGATCCGTTTTGGTGGCCTAAGGATTGAGTCTCTGCTTTTTGCAGATGATTTGGTCCTGTTGGCTTCATCAGAACATGATCTCACTGGGGCAGTTCAGCTCCTCTAAATCCAAGACTATGGTCTTAAGTCAGAAAAGGGTAGAATGCTTTCTCTGGATCAGGGATGAGGTTCTGCCCCAAGAGGAGGAGTTTTAATTAGCTTGGGGTCTTGTTCACCAGCGAGGGAAAACTGGAGCATGAGATCGATAGGCGGATTGGTGCTGCATCTGCAGTGATGCGGGCATTGTACCGGTCTGTTGTGGTGAAGCGAGACCTGAGCCAGAAGGCAAAGCTCTCGATTTACCGGTCGATCTACATTCCTACTCTCACCTATGATCACAAGCTTTGGACCAAAAGAATGAGATCGCAGATACAAGCGGCCAAAATGCGTTGTTTCCACAGGGTGGCTGGGCTCTCCCTTAGAGAAGGGGTGAGAAGTTCGGTCATCCGGTACGCCCTCCTGCAGGGGTATTCAAGTCCGGTCCTGGAGGGCCGGTATCCAACACGTTTTAATTTAAACCTGTCTTCAACACACATGATGAGCTGCTGCACAGATGATCGAACCACTGAATCAAGTGTGTTGGAGCAGAGAAACACCTAAAACGTGCTGGATACCAGCCCTCCAGGCCTGCTCATGCGGGAAAGACTTGGAGTAGACCCGCTGCTCCTCTACATCGAGAGGAGCCAGTTGAGGTGGCTCGGGCATCTGGTCAGGGTGCCTCCTGGACACCTCCCTGGTGAGGTTTTCCGGGCACCTCCAACTGGGAGAAGACTTAAAGGAAGACCCAGGACACGCTGGAGGGACTAAGTCTCTTGGCTGGCCAGGGAACACCTTAGGATTCCCCCGAAGGAGCTTGCCCAAGTGGCTGGGGAGAGGGAAGTCTGGGTGTCCCTGCTTATGCTGCTGCCCCCGCGACCCGACCCTTGATAAGCGGCCGAAAGTGGATGGATGGATGTCAGCTGATCAGTAACACAAGTGTTTTTTGTATGAACATAACATAATTAGCCTTGTGTTTCAGTGCTCCCTGCAGATTTAAGAAGAAGCCCCTGAAGAATGGAAGCCTGGTGTGGACAGCAGAACCCCGAGCCCCTCAACATAAAGGAGGAAGAGGAGGAGCTGTGGGACAGTGTGGAGAAGGACAAGCTTAACGGGAGAAAGGAGACTAATGCCAGCAGGTTTTCATTCACGTCTGTTCCTTTGAAGTGTGAAAACGATGATCAGAAACCTCTGTGCTCACAGTTTCATCTGCAACAAGTGGATGATGGAGATCTTCCAGCCAGCAGCTCAGCTGATCAGCTGAAGGCAGCAGCTGGTGAGGAGGACTACGGAGCAGCAGAAAATAGCTGGAACCTAGATCTAAACCCTCACAGAGAGGAGTCCAACTCTTCATTGACTGAAGTCAGTGAGAATGATGCAGAAGATGACATCATGGACAGTCCTGAACTTCAGCTAAATTACTTAAAGAAAAGAGTATTATCATGCAGGAAGTCGTTTAGTTGTGATGATTGTGGAAAAACCTTTTCTAGATCTTCGGATCTAAAGGCACACACGAGAACCCATACAGGAGAGAAACCTTTTGGTTGTGAGGTTTGTGGAAGAAGGTTTAACCTGAAAACACATTTAAATGCACATGTGAGAATCCACACCGGAGAGAAACCCTTTCCCTGTGGTGTGTGTGGTCAGAAGTTTAGACATAAAAACTATCTAAATGGACACATGAGAAGCCACACAGGGGAGAAACCGTTCTCTTGTGACGTTTGTGCTCAAAGTTTTAGACACAAAACAAATTTAAACACACACAGGAGAATTCACTCAGGAGAGAAACCATATCCTTGTGATGTTTGTGGACGAAGATTTAACCAAAAGACAAATTTAAACACACACCTGAGAATTCACACTGGACGGAAAGAGTTTGATTGTGATTTTTGCGGACTGCGGTTTAACCAGAAGATCAATTTGAACACACACATGCGGGTCCACACAGGACAGAAACCTTTTCCTTGTGACGTTTGTGGGCAAAAATATAGTCGAAAGACACATTTAAACAACCACATGAAAATCCACACAGAAGAAAAAACGACTGGTCAGTGAACATGAAAGTCCAAGTATTTCTAACAACTGTACTACGATAACACCTGGGGAATGCAGTGTGGACTTCCATTGCATGGTTGCAAAAAAATCATACCAACAAATATAAAATGATATGCAAATTGAAATACAGTTCTAGAAATGGGACTCGTACACAAAAATAAAATTCTGGTGAATCGAGCCAGCATCTAGAGAAAATTCTGTTTTTCTATGTTTACACATAATCTATGAAGGGGATCATAACTTCCTTGGTGCTTGAACAGTGGGCAGTGATGGCTGCACTAGTCCGGAATAGGAAACTCGGTCAGTGTGTTTACATGCAGCGTTAGAAAACTGAATTATTACTTTAGTCTGGCTGAAGTGGAACCAAACTGGACTAATCCTAATCGAGCTAAGGCACCCAGATAACGGGGTTAGAAAACCAAACTTATCTCTATGTAAGCAACATCCGAGCTTAGCCAAGCTATGACCAACCCAGGCGCTCCCCTTCAAGAAGAGACGAGACCGCAGAAGCAGTGACCGCACCTGCTGTGTGATCTGTGACATCACAGCCCAGTATGTATCAAAAGAGCTGTGATGCAGCGTCGTCGTCCTCCATTTCTTCTGACAGTGTGCATGTCCTGCTTTCACTCACACCAGTGTTTACATTTGTGTTTCTATAGGTTAACCGGAAGATTGTCGACACGAAAGGGCTCATGTCACCACCGTCACGGAGTCGAATGCACATCATTGAAAAATTTGTTTTCCTAACTGACATGTAAACTAGGATAAAGTCTCCCTTTCTGGTTCAGGTACTGGCTCTATTAATGCCGTAGTTCTACTTAACATCCTGAGTCGTGGTGCAGTCTGGGAAAGCAAACACCCCTCATCACCCGCTGCACCTCATTGTTCCCCACATCTCGTCTGTAGGTGAAAATAAGGAAGTCATTGTGTTGTTAATGCATGTGATTCAAAAGGTTGGAATAATTTCCCACAGAGGAGGACAAGTCAGAAGAAGCTCAGACCGAGCCAGCGCTCAACTCTGGTTTCTCAGGCTGGGGTGGAAGCTGCTGTGGTTGGGTTGTGTGGGTCAGTAGCTGCTGAAGCTTTTGTTTAGAGTAAAGTGTGTGTGTGTGTGTGTGTGTGTGTGTGTGTGTGCGCGTGCGCGTGCCTCAGCATCTGCCTGTGCTCAGTTTGTGATTCCTAACCTATAAACAGATAAAGATGAGGCAAAAGAATTTTCCAGTTCTGTGGCTTTTATACACAAATATTAATTGTTGTAAATATTTAATATGTTCAAATAGGCTAGATATGAAGTATTACTTATGGCTTTGTGGAAAAACCGAGTTTTATGTCTTAAAAATTAAAGGTACAAAATCGTGTTTTTTGTTCAGTTTATTCTGAATCATTCGTCCATCCATCCATTTTCATCCGCTTATCCGGAGTCGGGTCGCGGGGGCAGTAGCCCAAGTTGAGAGGCTCAGACTTCCCTCTCCAGGGAATCAAGACCATGGTCTCAGATTTAGAGGAGCTGATTCTCATCCCAGCTGCTTCACACACCGCTGCGAACCGCTCCAGCAAAAGCTGAAGATCTCGTTCTGATGAAGCCAACACCACATCATCTGCAGAAAGCAGAGACCTGATCCTCAGGCCACCAAAACAGGATGCCCTCCACACCTTGGCTGCGCCTAGAAATCCTGTCCATAAAAGTTATGAACAGAATCGGTGACAAAGGGCAGCCTTGGCGGAGTCCAACTCTCACTGGGAACGAGCCCGACTTACTGCCGGCAATGTGGACCAAGCTCTGACACCGGTCATACAGGGACCTAACAAGCCTTATCAGAGGGCCTGGTACCCTACACTCCCACAGGGCCCCCCGAGGGACACGGACAAACACATTAATAAAACACGAACGAGGAAACTAACCTCTGTCTATATCTTCATAATAGAAATTTTGTTGATAAACTTCCAACAAAATGAGTCGTTTTACATTTTCGAAAGATGCACCATTTCTAGTGAACGCCTCAACATATAAGATTAGCTGTTATTTTATGCTGACTGCAAATGAGATTTTTCACCAGAATCCGTTATTTTGTTCCCTGTAGAAGAAAACAAAGATAATGTGGATGGTTGGTTTCATTCTGGTGTTGATGTCCTTCAAAAGCAGATTACTCTTGAAAAATAGAAGTTTGAACAATTCCTCTATTTTTCACACAAACTTAAAACGTTTTTCAGACGTAGCAGATGAAACTCAATAAAGTGAACTAATACTTAGAGCTGAAGTTACACACGTCTTTGTAGAATAATAGCTAATTCAGTCTTTCTGTTTTCTTAAATGCTAAAATTCCTCTTATAGACACAATAGATGTTAAGGAGTTGGGTTTAGGATAATTTATGCTAGAACAATGCCAAGAGTCTGCTCTTGATGAGCAGCACTTCAGAAGAAAACGTGCTCCGAAGGTAAAACCTAAAGAAAGATGGGCTAAATAAAGAGTTTAATGAAAGCTCTCTCCACAGAGATGTTTAAACTCACCTAGACGATCCAGATCTTTATTGCTCAGAATTGTTCATTTTTAGACTTTGAAACCAACCTCGTGAGTTTTTATTGGTTTACTTTCAAGCTTTTCCCAACATCGGACCTGGATGCTGCCATGAAGCCTGGTGTGGGTGATGCCAGACAACCCGTCAAGTGTTTCTGCTCTACCATGTGGCGGGAGAAGAGAGGCCAGTGTGTGCTCTGACATAAGGAAGCTGTGTTCATTAAAAAAAAAAAAAGCAACCTCCTCTCATCTGCAGTCTACCACACATCCATTAAAACTCCTCCTTAAACAGTTAGTAAACATCAGAAAACAGAAGTAGGGCATCTGACACACAGGCTGATCTGGAAACATGTCTGCTGTAGTTTCCCTGAATGAGAGAGGGCAGTCGGGTCAATGGGTTCAGCCGATATTAATGTCCAGTTTCTCCCAGAGCCTTCCTGAAAAGGGGAATGTGGAACTTTCAGAATCTTCAGACTAGTTTTAAACCAGCTGAACTCACACCAGGCAAACTGATGTTTCAAAACAAAGATGCGAAATGTGGTTGAAACATGGTTGAAGATAAAATGAAGGCAATGTTCAAAGGCATGCATGTAATTTCAAGTTCAAGCTGAGCTTTATTGTCGTTTCTGCTGCATGTGGGGACATACAGTGGAAGGAAATGTCGTTCCTCACCAGCCCACCATGCTACGTAACAGACACACAACAGTGACGTAAAACAAAAGAAAAGAAAATGCTACAGATAAATACTGTAGATGTGTTAAGAGGAACACTGCCATGTTGCCATGCGGACATCACCATAGTCCAACGCAGGGCTAAGCAATATGGCCTAAAATCAGTAACCCAATATATTGAGGATTTCACCTCGACATGGACGGAATTTTTTGGGGGGGGGGGGGGGGGGTCCCCCCCTCACACTTTTTCCTAAGTCAAGTTTTGACCCCTGCACTTTTCACCATCCAAAAACAATATTACGCTATATTAAATTGACACTGGTTGAGCTCTAGGACCAAGTGCCCGTGTCCCCCCCACTTCTAAAGTGAAAATTACATCCATGCACCTCTATAATGATAAATGTATGATTCAATTCAATACTTTATTTCACTCAAAGTTTAAATATACAAACTTCAAATCAGAATATAAGCATTCGAGTGAAATAGGGGGAGGAAGAAGAAAAAATCTTATATGACCTACCCCCTTTAACTAAGACAAGATAAATAACAAAAAGTACAAAATAGCCTTATACACAAAAAATAAACCACTCTCTTACTTCCACTAATAATATCACTACTAAAACATTAATCCTCCATCCTCAACTTACCAAATCATACGTTTTTAGCATTTTATCTTTATACATTTTTTTAATTCATCATCCAGGTTATTCCATAATTTCACACCATATATTGAAATACACATTTGCTTTAATGTAGTACGGACAAATATCCTTTTAAACTCTGGTTTCTTTCTACTCTTATCATTTTTTGGGATTAAAACAAAGAACCTTTGTAGATTAGTTGGCAGCAAATTATTTCTAGCCTTAAACATAATTAGTAAAATTTTCAAGTTAACTAAGTCTTTGAATTTCATAATTTTAGATAGAACAAAATATTTGTTAGTATGTTCTCTTGGATTTGCTTTATATAGAATTCGCAAAACTTTCTTCTGTAACAGAAACAAAGGATTAGTGTTTGTTTTATACGTATTGCCCCAAACCTCAATACAATAAGTTAAGTATGGTAAGATAAATGAATAATATAATGTCTGAAGTGTTGAAATTTCTAGAAAACCTTTGACTTTGTTTAAAATTCCAATACTTTTGGATATTTTTTGTTTTATATATTTTATATGGGATTTCCAAGTAAGTTTATGGTCCAAGAGAACCCCTAAGAATCTGACTTCATTTACTCTATCAATTAAAAAACCATCAATAGACAACGTAACTAAATCATTAGTTTTTCTGTTACCAAAAACCAGGAATTTTGTTTTATTCCAATTGAGAAATAATTTATTGTCATTAAACCACTTTTTAAGTTTAGACATTTCACAAACCATATTTTGAATAATAATTTCTAAATCATTTCCAGAACAAAATATATTCGTGTCATCAGCAAACAGTATGAACTGTAATACTTTGGACACATCACAAATGTCATTTATATAAAGAATAAAAAGCTTAGGGCCCAACACTGACCCCTGTGGGACACCGTGTAATCGCTAGTGAATCTGAAATTTCATCATCTAACTGTACAAATTGATTTCTATTGGTCAAATAACTACTTAACCAGTCATGGGCGATTCCACGTATCCCATAATCCCTCAGCTTGGAGAGTAAAATACTATGATCTATTGTGTCAAATGCCTTTTTTAAATCAATAAACAACCCCACTGTATATTGTTTTTTTTCTATTGCTGATGAAAGTTCTTCATTTAATTCCAATAAAGCCAGGAATGTAGATTTATGTGATCGGAGCCCATACTGACTCTCACTCAGGAGGTTTTCCTTCTCAATAAAGTTATCTAGTTTCTGAACAAACCATTTCTCAAGCACTTTAGAAAACTGAGAAAGCACTGAGATTGGTCTATAATTATCAAACTTATGTCTATCACCATTTTTAAAAATTGGAATTACTTTTGCAGTTTTCATTTTTTCTGGAAATGTACCACTCTGAACAGACAAATTACAGATATAAGTGAATGGTTTGACAACATAATCAATAGTTTTCTTTACAATCATCATGTCAATCCCGTCACAGTCTGTGGATGTTTTATTTTTACTTTTCCTAACTATCGTCAGAACTTCATTTTCACTTACATCCCCTTAAAACAGACTGTAAAATTTTGCTCCCTCCTTGTATTTTTCCAGCTTCATTAGTTTGTGTTTCCAGAGATTTGCCCAAACTTGGTCCTATGTTTACAAAAAATGAATTAAGTTCATTTACCACCTCAGCTTTATCCCTCAAGATCTTATCTCCGTTAGTAAAGAAATCTGGATAACGGGCATGCTGAGACCTGGATCTTATGACACTATTCAGAATTCTCCATGTTCTTTTCATGTCACCTATGCTTTCCTTCAGCCTTAAATTATAATGATCTTTTTTTGCTTGTCTTATTAATGATGTCAATTTATTTTTGTATATTTTGTACTTCATTTCTGTGGCTTTGGTTCGGTATCTGACAAAATCTCTGTATAATTTGTTTTTCCTTTTACAAGATTTTAGTAGTCCCTTAGTTAACCACGGTTCTACATTCATATTTATCTTTTTTCTACAGGCAACTACAGGGCAGTTCTTATTATATAAAGATTTATATGTTTTTAAGAACGTATCATATGCCACGTTCACATCCTTCACATAAACCCCACTCCAGTTCTCCTTCAACAAGTCATTACAAAATGCTGTTATAGCATCCTCTGTCCTTATTCTAACATGTTTTATCTGATCTAACTCCTTAGGTTTTTTGAATGCATTTTTATGTATTATAAAAATTGGTAGATGATCACTTATGTCACTAATTAGGAGACCAGTGTTAGTTGTCTTCTCAATTTCATTTGTATAAATATTGTCTATTAATGTAGCACAGGTACTGGTGATTCTAGTAGGCTGAGTGATCACAGGATATAAACTCCTGCTGGACATCACATCCATAAAGTCTCTAGTCATTTTGTTTCTCTGGTTAAGTAAATCAATATTGAAATCTCCACATATTAACCAGGATTTGTTGTCATTTAATCCATCTATGAGAGTTTCGCATCTTTCTTTAAAACATTGTAAATTGGAGCCAGGTGTTCTATATATACAGGCTACTATAATGTTTCTAGTTTTTTCCATTTCTATTTCAACAGCTAC